CAAAAATAAACGTTTTATTTTTATACACTTTGCAAATATTTTATATCTCTTCTTTAAATCTATTCATAATAATTAGAGATTGCATTGCACTGAAAATTTCCTTTAAACATTTTAAATAAAATTGAAGGTACTTTTTAATTTTTTCGATAAGTAAGGATCAGTCACAAATAGATGAACTTTTCCTTTTAATCATTCAATTTGAGACGACGAGAATAAATCACAAATTGTACTTAAAATATTGTTTTAATTGGTAACACTGATCAATCAGTATTACAAATACTGTTACAATACAAGAAATCTGATAACGGTACTTGGTTTGTTTTTTAGTTTGAAAAACATTGTGAATAATTCAATTTAAACGTATCCAGTTGATATAAAAACATTGTAATACGCACTATATACTATACATCTTGGGTATTATTCTGATTATAATAGCCAACCATTTAAAGTAACAACTTTAAGCTTTACTCAATATTAAAATTCAATAGATTTGGAGATCCCTTTTTGGTCTTTCCAAAGCCGCATGCTATATTAGTGGTTAAAAAGCCCGCCTCTCATGCATGAAGGCGCGGATTCGATTCTGGCAAGGACCAATGTGATTTTTCCGAATCATATGTACTTTCTAAGAGTATTTAGACATCACTGATTAATGCATTCCCAAAGAGGGTTGATGTCAGGCAGGTCGGTAGAAAAAAAAAACAATTAGCCAAAAACTATTTATATGTAAGGCAGACCTAAAACTGGCATGCTAGCTAAAGTTGGGAAAAAAGCCAGGAAGAAGAAGACAATCTGAAATATTATCACATAATGAAGACTTAATCATGTTCCTGCCGTCTCTGTAGAGATTCAAAGCGTAGCAAACTAACGAATAAGGAAATGTTTTACGTGATAAGTGATCAAATCCACAAGGGCTTTAATTAGACTGATTAGAAAACACTCTCTCGCTTTCATAAGACAGCAAATGTTTAATGGATGTTAGGACAGCTCGGGCGGTCGTAAATAAATTTCTTTTTAAATTAATTCATAAACCATAACTTTCACTCATGGCGAAACTGAACCGAAACTGATAATTCACATGTATATTATTCAAAAACTATCAATTTTAATCTATGGTTATATGGATTTACGTAATAACTTGTCCAACTAGCCGAATACCTGTTATGGTTTTTTCTATGGAAGTATTTAAACGATTTCCAACGAAATCGAAATCATAGGTTGATGGTTGTTAAGAAACATCATGAGTTCTGTTAAGTCTTTATTTAACATAATTATAATATACTAGCTTTACGCCCGCAGCTTCGCCCGCGTGGAGTTTGGTTATATCGCGTTTCATAGAGGATGTTTCAAAAGTCTGGGATAAAAACTATTCTATGTTCTTTCTCAAGGTCAACTCCATCTCTGTACCAAATTTCATTGAAATCAGTTCAGTGGTTTAGGCGTGAAAGCGTAACAGACAGACAGACAGACAGGGTTACTTTCGCATTTATAATATTAGTAGGGATTATAAAGGGTGGGAAAGTACCTTTGTTGTTGAGTTTTTTATTTAATACTAATAAAAAGCTTAGAAATGTTAGTTAAAAATAATTATATTAACTATTGTATGCAGTAAAACAATTGAATCCATTGGACAAATATTCAATCTAGAAGAATATTCTAGAACTTAGAGTATCAATATCTGAATTATATGCAATCACAATCATAGAATTTGATTTGAGTTTCATCTTATTCCACTGTTTACGTTTTTCTTTATAATAATTTAACATTATTGTACCTAATACATATTTTATCTCTCATATACTTTTTTATATAACAAAATTTGAAGACTATTATTACTTTTCACTATTCTCATAGTCTCTGATACTTATCTTATTAATTTGAAAGTATAGTATCATATTGGATGAAGAACGAACATTTGTTAAAGTACCCTTGTAACAATGATATTTTTTTTAGCCTATCAGAGCCCACTGCTGAGCAAAGGCCTCTTTCTTTCGTGGAGAAGGTTTGAGCATTAATTAACAATGATATACTAGACAATAAAACTAATACTGCTTCTAATTACTGCTTTTATAAACTTGGAACAAAAATTATCGGTAGTTAAAACTTCAAATACTATTGGAATGATTTTTCCCTCTATACAATTTAATTGTGAAATCTTAACAAAAATTATGTGTTTAATATTTAATATTAATATAATTATATCAAAACGGTTACGCGACTTCTGCATTTTGCATGCTTTATTATATCATCTATCATTTAATGTCAGTGAGACAAGTATCGACGCAATAATGACAGGTTGGTGTAATGACAAAAAGTTGTCGTTTTATGTATTTTAATCTGTGGCTACACGGAGTAATAAGAAGGTTTTATATGTTTACGATAAAATAAATTAAACACAAAAATAATCAAGTAAAAATATTCCATTTCTATCTTAACTTTAAACCATCAAGTACTGATACTTTTTACACCCATTACAAACGATTTATTTTAAATATTCTTCTACCTAAGGATGTGATCTCAATTTCCATATTATAACGCTTTCTTTGACATCATTGCGAGGAAGCTTTAAGGCTGTCTAATTTCCGTCATCGACTCTTAACTAACAGTTTAAGTTAACCGGTAATATTTCTTAACCGCATTGAACGTCATGTTATATTAAAGTAATGATATATAGCGGGTATCAAGCAGTGCACGGTACAGAATATAATAAGGCGTGATTTATATTACCGTCGCCAGCGTCTACAAGAAATTAATTACACCTTTTGATATGCATATTAATGGTTAAGTGGAGATCCAGACAGATCTTATACTGTGGTCAGTTTCAGTTGAGTTTATTTTTCAAGTAATCATTCTTTCTAACGGTCACGGATTTTTTTTAATATGACCTCCTTAATTATTTCGATAAGAAACTAAAATAAACAGAATGACTTTAAAATTGACATATATTATTTCTGTTTAAATATTATAAATGAGGTTATTACAAAACAAGATATACAAATTATAAACGCGACCGATGCGTCCGATTATAGTTGCATATAAACTAGATTTCATATTTACAAACATTGTTCTAAATTTAAATTGTTGAAAAAAAAAACAACTTTTTTTATAGCAAAGAGTTACGTCAAACTTGTCTCAAATGTCAGTTGGTTAGTTAATTTTTTTTTTAATTAAAATATTTATTAGAATCGACTTTAAGTATACAGCTGGTAACAGTGAAAGCTCTGACGCCACCGTGTTCGAGAAAACTCGTCAATATTCACTTCTTTGTGTTAACTAGTTTTAGGACGGATTGCGAGTTTTGACCGCAATACTAAAAGTTGATATTAAGTCAAACTTAAATGTCATTGAACGTTATTTGTGAAATACGATTTATTTTTAAGTATTGTATAAGCATAGAAGACTATATTCAGTTAGGCTTAATCCAAAATGTTTTATTAAAAAAATCATTACAAGATATCATTCGTTCCAAAAAAAAATTTGGAATTTTTAACAAAATTTAATATTGAAATTAAACATTGATCTTAGAATTTAGTTCGACATTCTAATCCTTACTTAGATATCGTCCAGCTTATCTTTACTATGTAAGTCCAATCAATTCCAACTGACATTTAGATTTACGACTTGCGGTAGTTTTATTGCTTTTTGATTTAGAACCGAACTCTATTTACAATAACGAAAGTTTTACTTTCAATTGATGCACTACTTCGATGCATCAACAAAATTATCAACAAGTCATAAACAATATTAATATATTAATTGAGACAAAATCTTTGACAACTTTCCCTTACATAAAAGCTTAAACAAAAAAAAAAACATAATATTTATTACATAATAAAAAAATATAAGTTACATTTTATAATTCCATAATTTTTAACATATCTATATGCAATGGCCTCTTGACATACATACCAAAACACTCGTTAGATTTAACAGTATATTGCCAAAAGTACGTATTAAAGCCATAATAATTTATGGTTATAGTTAGAAATTAAATAAAAAATGTAATAATCTTTAATATTCCATACTTTTAATATCTCACGTCAAGTGATCTTAATTCCGTGATATCAAAGTGAAGTAGGGTAAGACTTTAACTGTAACCGTGGCTTGCGGTTTCCACCGTTATGATATATATCCAATGTAATCTTTTGATTGAATTCGATGCTATAAAACACGGTCACGGTACATACATGAATTAATATTTAGAACAGAAGATTATTTATTCAGATTCATCTACAGGTAAGATAAGTCTCAAATCCTGCGACATTTAATACGAAAATAAAATTATCTTATTGGTTTCTAACAGTCTGCATTGGAGAAATGATAATAAAGCTTTTATTTGAAACAAAAGTAATATATAAAATAGTTTAGAGAAAATATAAGTTTGTTTATAAGAAATCGTCTTTAAGTGACAGTGAACATGATCTACAGATAAGAGAAGTATAGATAATAAATTATACATTAATACAGATAAAGCACGAGACGCTATAGTATTGTTAGGTGTACCTTTCTAAGTGTTTTTGAATCTATTAGTTATAAATTTCTATTAGTAATTGATTTAGTAGAGTATATGAAGCGTATTGAAAATGATTTTCTTTGTCGATAATATCACTGGCACAACAGAAAATTTCCTTAACCAACTCTGTTTATAAATAAATTGAAAAGAAAAAAAGTTACGTTACTCTTTTTCATGTAATCAAAAAGTCCTATAGCTGTACATTGTATGGGCTGTAAATATTTATGGAAGAGAACGGCTTATTTAAATTATTTTACTTAGTTGTAAATAATTTAAATAAACGGTTCTTAATAAGTAATTGGAATAACTGTTATTATACGGTAATTAACCGTTTATGTACAAACTGTATTAAAGACTGAGCTTCGTTTACACCGATATTATATGTCGTTCATAACTTAATATTCTTAGAATATATAAAAATAATATTTAAGTGTAACTGTGTAATACGGGGAAATAAGGATAAGTTGTTTCTATACTTGACCGTTGCTAAATGTCAGTTTCAATTGACAGGTATTGTGAAGTTGTCAAAGTTTATTTTGCATCAATACTTTCGGGCAATTTAGCTTAGTATATACTCTTTGTAAGGAACTCCTTTCAGGAAATTTTAGTCTTTCCTTAGATTACTTTAAGCTTTGATTTTCCTAACTTACAAACTTGCAAAGTATAACGAAGATATTAATAGGAGATAAATTGCAATAAATATATTTTAAAAAGCATTTTAGTATAAATAGCTTAGCTTGTATTTAATATAAGTCTATTAATTTCACTAGTATCTTAAATCTTTAATGAATTTAACTTTATTCATACATAAAAATGTAAATTTATTCATGGGCAATAACCATTTGTTCCTTCTATACATGTTCAAAGAAGTTTATGTAACCAACTTCACGTTATCTGTATAGTGATTGCGTACATCTCGATACAAACGATTAATTCACTATTATTTCTTTAATAAAACATAAATAACAATATGTTACTCAATTCTTTAAGACAATCAATTAAAAATAATTTTTCGTGTGGCCTCATTTTAAATGTAAATGATGACTTTTAAACAGAAATATTATTGATATTTGAGAAATTAAATGTTGCTTATAACTACCAACTGGGTAGCCTCATGGTAATTTATAATGAACAGAAAATGGAATATATTCTGATGAAGTTCGATACCAATTTTGTTCGTTTTATTTCATTTAATCGACGTTCATTTAGGATGAATTAGAAGTGGAGTTTGTAAGGATAGAGGTACGTTATTTTGTTCCAAATATAGGTTTATAGTAGGAACTATTAAGCTACACGAGGGATAAAACAAGAAGTATCTTTTACATAAATATCTTTTGTATGTGATGTGTGTGCTAAAGTAATTATGAGAATAAAGCATCATTGACTTTGAATTTGAAAGTACAAGCCGTGCCATAACCAGGTAATTCAGTAGCATTTCGTATATTTACGATGCAGGAATTTAAGAGGAAAGTTCTTGAAATGAACATGTTTATACATAGAGAGGAAAACCTTAACGAGCGAACAGTTAAATTTCAAATGGCCTGAATGTGTTAGAAGTGACGTTTGGTTATTGTTAAATATGTTTAAACGAGTTAGAAATGACTCCGTATATTTACTTACGAAAATCGTCATATTAAAACTATCTGAAATTATAGTTTGAAATTGTTGTTGTAAAACTGTTGTGATTGATTGAGAACTTCTTCTTCTTTTTCTTTTTTCCTGGCAATTTTCCAGCATTAGCCAGGGTCTGCCTTTCATGTTGAAAATAGTTTTGGCTAATTGTTTTTTACGATCGCCCGCCTGTCTGACATCAACTCTCTTTGGGAATTGATTGAGAACGTAAAATATAAATTGTTTCAGTTCATATGTAGTTGATTTTTAAATAAAATAATGCTTCGATAAAATAACATTTGTCCCTCTCTGTATAAATTTACACCTCTGAAGTCAATCTTCTGTCACAAATTTCGTAATATTTAAGCAGTATAAGAAGATATTAAATATATGTAATAAGTAGTTTAAATCTCAGTCAACTTACTAAAAGTTTGGATCGCAATACTACATACGTTAACCGTTTTTCATTCATATATTTTCGCAAATCAAACGTGGTTTATTGAGTTTCTAAAGTAAAACTATTCGTATGTAGTGTAACCGCGGAAACTTGTGCTAAGCGTTCTGAGCTCGAAGGAAATTTCCTACAAAGCTTAATGAATATATCTTTGCTAGAGGTTCAATGATTTTTGGTCAAAAATTACATATAAGTAAGGTGATTTATATAATAATTAATAATTATATGAAGCGACGAAGTATGTTAATTTATTTTAATTAAAACGATGTATTAATAATGTCACTAAAACCTTTAGATAAATCACTCAAAACTATGGCATTTATTCTTAAACGGTAGTAAAAGTTTTATGTATTGAATTAGTTCTCATTATCTCATTGTCATATAAAAACATTGTTTTTTATTGATAGATGACCGTTATACATATACCGATTGTTCTAAAATAAGATAATACTGGTTTTAAATATGAAATAAAAATTTTAGTGTTTTATTGCATTTTAGTAAAAAAATAGTCATCAACTGTCAACTTAGTTTCAAAACTTTCGACTCATATTTATATATCATGAAGTTCATACAAAGATATAAATAATTACGTCGTTATTTACGAGTATATATAAAATTCCATACAAACATATTATGTTGTTTTAAAACCGTTCAACTGTTCAAATGAAGCTTGAACATAATATATTCTGGACATGTGTTTATGAATATCTGAACAAATTCAACAGTCTAGAAAGTAACTGTAAATATATGAACAATAGGTAGCATGTATTAGGTATTATATTACCTTGGAGTAACAATGAAACTAATGTTCAAACGTTCTGAACCAGCGGTTGGTTACAACTGAATATTTCTACATAACGGGCTATTTATGAGCTGCATATAAATATGCATATGTTTCTAACCTCATCTTTTATTTAATACAAACTTTCTACTAAATTCACACATGCTTTGATGTTGCTAAGTACACTTCTGTTTAATAGCTGTAATAGTTAAAATTTTCATTATTATTTTCAACACGCTTTACGGCGTATTTTATATTGAAAGAGATCTTGGAATTGCTAGTATGATGGGTATGCTAAAAAAAAAAATTCTGCCAATACATTTTAATAACTACTTATATGGCAATTCTCATTCTTTTAATATTGTAAGTTGAAAGATTTTTTTTACACCAGAAACCTATTATTACATTCTCTTGTGATAATAGTTATTAATTGTTTTATTTTATATTATTCAACGAAATAGAATTAACCAAATATAAAATCGTCGTTTCTAATACAAACAGAAGTATTTATAGTCTTGTGTATGACAAAGTATAACCCATCTATATAAGATACTCAGGGCATTGTAATAAAATAATTTACAATGTATGAACACAAAACTACGCTAAGTTTTTCTTATATCTAATCCAAATGGTTTGCATAGAGTAATTAATAATTATATTTTTTCTTTTCTGTATCAATATTGATTTGAGTATTATTATTTCAGGACGGAACAAGGGTTTCGATTGTGTCGTTATGCTAACAAATCTTGGGCCGGGGGCCCAATCATGATTACCGAGGTGAGTTAGAAAAAAATATATAAACATAATTATAATAAAAAATAATATATTTGTAATATTTTCTTCCCATGCGAAATAATTTTCAAGCGTTGATTTGTTAATGATGTGTGCGAATTTTTTTTTGTGTATACATTTTTATTATGTTTCATTATACACATGCGCTGCAAAGACTTATCTAGCTTTATGTTCCGCGAAATCGGTTACATATGATCAGTTACTACTGAACATTAATACACAAACACACACACACACACACACACACACACACACACACACACACACACACACAGAAGTAAACACATAACTCTCCATTTGGTTGGGTCATGTGGAAGTCAGTTTCGTTCATAGGTAATACAATAAATAAAACACATTACATGTTATATAAATATAGTAATAACTGCTAGGAAGTGTATTTATTACTTAATGCAATGCATTTTTTGCTACAAATAATTTTTAAGGCGTTATTATCTATGCAGCGTGCATAGTAATCTTGCGTGTACAGTTTAGCACGCGCTGCATCAGACATGCTAAAAATTCGATATCATTCTATCAAATGATATCACAAGTTATTTATCATATTCGCTATGATGAATGCAAGCGTTCGTACACGCAATTACAGGTTTATTATCTACGTATTGTTATATATTTATAATAGCACAATTACGAAATATATATGCAATTAAAACAAGATCTTCAAATATTCAAGTGCCACAGCGACTGTTTATTCATATGGATTTTTTAATTAATGTTAAAATATTTTTGAATTGTTATGGCCATGCATAAAATGTGTTAATTAATTCCGATGTCAAGATATAGTATGTAATGAGCATAAATAAAAAAAATAATACATATAAAATAATTTCCGGTTTCGTCATGTTAAAAATAAGTTTCACTTTCTGAGTTCGAGCTCTGATCTAGGAGAAATTATATTGTGTTCGGAATTTGTGACTTAAAATATACTATTGATTTTATATGGAAAGATATTTTTTATCGTAGGGATATATAAATGTGTACTTATTGTAATTTCTTCAAGATGGTAACGGGTGACAACGAGAGCTCTTCCCTGGGGGGATTTCATTTGGGAGCTCAGGATGAGAGACCACGTGCTCCGAGCGTCTCTTCACTGTCTTACAAACAGAAAATAGACGCCCTATTTGATGACACACGATCCATAAACAGCATACAATACGCGGACGTAGCCAGGCGGGATAGCAAGGTAGGTTATAATCGCTATAACTTTAATATTAAAACCCAATAACATACTATGATTCAGTAATTTCACTTATAATTAACAGGTCAGCTTAACCCAGGATAGCAGAACAACAATATTCGAAGATGAGAATAACTATTGTCAGAAGAAAATAAAAAAGATCAACAACACTGTTCAGGATCGAATAGAAAGAATGTTTGCTGATATGGCCGGTGAGTCAAGATTATCAGCGGAGAATATAGGCGTTCACGTGTTCAGCGTGCAGTATTTGGGATCAACGCCATTACAGAGCAAAGTCACCAGCCTGTCTGGCTTACAGGGTCCACTCAGAGATCTATACTTCGCTTATAAGAGGAATACGAGACAGAAAAGCACTTTTACAGGTCGACTTGAAATATCTAAGAGCGGTCTCAAAGTCAGATACAAGGGCGAAAAAGGTGATCTGGAACAGCTGAATCCATTTCCTACAATAGCCGTTTGGTCAGCTGTCAAGTTCATTGTCCAGCCCGATGAAAAGGACCAGAACGATTTAAGTTACGCCTTTGTCCCATTAATAACTGATCCAGATAATATTGACCGTCACGCTCTGTTCAAACTATTAGATTCATCCGAAAAGAAATATATCCTCTCCCACAACGAAAATTCTCATTCACCTCTTTTCGCTGTTGTGATGAGGAAGATAGGCGTTGCGAAACAACTTGAGTGTCATGGGTTTGTATGTCAAACGACTGAGGACGCTATAGTTATAGCGGCGACGTTATACAAATCACTTATGTCACATATGAGTCGGCAAGGTCATTCCGATACGAAGAAGCTGAAGAATAGGAACGGGGTCACTTGTATGAGTGTGACCAGCAGCATACCGGCCAACGACATACCCGTCAGGCCGCCGAGAAAGAAACGCAGCACGTCTTCACTCAGTGGAGACAGCGACCGAGCTGACGGGTTCTCAGCGAGCGAATCCTTCACGGAAAAACCGAAATTAGAAAGGACGAGAAATGTTACAGAAAACTTACCTCATCTAGCACCGTGTGTTCCACCGTTGGAAGCGAAACGAATCACTGTTGAAGAAGTGAAAGCTAAATTAGATTTAATAAAGCATAATGATACGAGCGGCAGTGAAACTCATGAATCTAAGAAGTCTACGAAAGATTCGCTCAATATGATGCCAATGATGCCGCAAAATACACACAGCAGCAGTGAATCGTCGGTTAAAACTAAGATATCTGAAAAGATTGAACTGTTCCGAGAGTTGGAGAGAAGGAAAAGTATACAGAGACCACCGACTCTACCGCCGCCGATACCTTCTAAGCCGCATCCACACACGTCAGATCCACATCCCAAAGAGCCTTTAAGAAGAAGTCAAAGTGGTCGGAAATCGCTCAGCGAATCCGGGGATATATTGACTAAAGTCGCCATACCACGTTCCGGCAGCTTTTTAAACGCCGGCGGACTGACGAGATATAAATCAATCGGACAGAGGTATGTGCATAAATTCGTTGCTTATAAATCGTTACAGTTATCATTATAAGAAACGTCATCTAAAAATAACTTTACTAACGAGATTGAATACAACATGTTTACCGGAGTGGTTACATCTCGCGTGCCTCCGGCGAGTAATTGTGTTAATGCAACCGCGTCCGCTACATTCCTACAGCCACTTTTATAATCGTACTGCAATTTTTTAAAAAATATCATCATTTCGTTGACTTTATGAGATTTATGAGTTAATATATAACGATTCTATTTCAGAAACAACGGGAAAAAGGGCGGCGGATCACCTTTGGGTTTTAACGAATTATTCAACGAATTCAAAGTTCAAGAGAATTTACATTCTATGGATGAAATTTTAAATGTCATAATAGATCCGGACGGGATGTCTTTTAACGATCTGAAACCGATCTATAAAGAATTTCTTCTGAAATTAGCAGTTACACTGACTAAGGACGAAATCTTCCAACACAGTAAGACCATCATGAAGAAACAGAAGAAAAAGATACTCCGAAGAAACAGTTCGTTCCAGAGTAAAGGAAAAAAGATATTCAAAAGCGCCAGAGGTCTGCGAATGGTGTTCAGATTACCATTCGGCAAAGAGTTCAGGAAGAAAGACAGGAAAAAGCAAAACGGCTCCGACGTACATATACAAAGCAACAAAGAACCGGTTTCAGAGAGTTCGGTATCAACGACGAGTTACGACATGCGGCAGTTCAGGCCGAAGGAGCCGGAGTTTCCCGCACCGAAACGACAGACGATGAGGAAGAGGAACTCTAAACGTTCGGATAAATCCGTCCACGTGTCCAAAAGGAACGGGAAGACCAGAGGAGAGAGGACTTCCACATCGGAAGACTCGGATTTTCTCACGCTCAGCAACAGACTCGGCTGTCAGAACAGGAACAGTTCCAGCGGCTATGTTTCATGTTCTGAGTGCGAATCAGAGAGTTGTATCGATAGATGCTACTGCTCGCTGAAGGACTGTAAACCTAAATGTTACTGCTCGGTCGACAACGGGAAGGATTCCGCCAAGGCCAAGTTGCTGGGGAAGAACTGCAAGGAATGTTCCAAGTAAGTATATGCATATTCATAGAAAATATAAATGCATGTCTGTTTTTCTGTTACATATTATATAAAACCTTAGAGAAGAGTAATAATAATAATAATATATATTAAACTTGAGATTAGATTAAATCTTGCAATCTTATCAAATCTAATTTTCAAACGCAAATCTAGAAAATAGTCTGACGATATAGAATAAAACAATGTATGTAATTAATAGAATAAAAGTAACAAAAAGAAAAAAAGAAATCCGATTTTAGTACAACTTTCTTTTATGTTTTAAACGATCTTGATGGGCTGTTAAGAAGATAACAATAACACTTGTCGTGCTTTCAAACGAGATTTGATGTTTAAAATGAAATATTTGTGCAAATTTATTGGGCCTTAAAACTTTCACATTTTCAAAGGTTATATCTCTACGTTTTTATATCACAACTGTCTCTACTTTAAAATAAATTACCATAATTTTATACATTTTAGTCTTAATTCTAATTATTTAATTTTTTATTATATGTACATAACAGCAAACATTTATATTGGTTACGGTCAGTTAATACACACGAACTACGAAGTTGTAATATTCATTTAATTTCACTTGAACTTTGTACTTGGTTTTTAGGGTTCTTTTGGGCGAATAATTTCTTTTGTACAACAAATCTTATATACCTTTTAGCTGCGAATAATTCTCTTTCAAATCTTCATACAATTATTTCTCTAATTTTCATTGAACAAACAAACAAGTTTAAATATTTATCATACTAGCGAGATGTTCCAGTTATTTTTTAATCACGTCTAGTAATAATTCATTTTAACAATATATTATTATAATTTCCCCGCTTTCATAACTCGCACAGTTAAACGGACGCATCTTTTGGTATACTTTAAATTATAAAAAAAATATACATATAACACGTAGAAGAAAATGGATCAATTAATTAAGAAAATAAGGTTCAAATTAGTGTTTCCTAATTAGATAGAAATGAAACGCGCTTCTTATTAGAGCATAACACCTAGCTCGGGACGCTACGTGAGTAACAGAACCAATTTAATATAATTCACTATGAATTTATTTTCCTTTATAATGTTGAATTCATTATTATAATAAATTAGTTCATATAATTTACTGCCGACAATTAGCTGTTGATCGTCGTCAAATTGATTTTACATGTTTCTCATACATTATGAATAATATACAACTTTCACTCCCCGTAAGTGGTAAATTTTAAAAATTATTTCCTTATAAATTTAAAGACGGAACGAAAAATATAATTCGCATTTTTACTAAACTTGTTCATGTTAATTGTATAATAAATAAAACGAGATTTCAGAATGTATCGTTCATCATATGTATGTGTGTAATAGTTGGAGATGAAATTCGGTTTCTAGTAAATAGTGGCTATAAATAATAATTACGGAAGCGTTTTTTAGATGTATTGCAGGAAAGTAATGCAATTAGATAAAGCTTAGAACGACTAGACTATCGACATCTGACATCCTTTCAAATAATTAATTGACACATAAACATTATAAAACTAAGGATTTATTGATGGAACAATCGTTTATATAATTGTTAGAAACTCAAGAACCGAAAATTTCTCAAGGAACTTTCATCACGTTTGAAACAAGTTAATTGCCGAATTAACACATTCTAATCTCGAGTCTTTTATTTCGTTATTTATAATAGTATTTACTGAATCGATATTACGAAAACTGAAATGATATTTGAGTCGGAATTTTATTATAATCTTCATATATTTGATATTTCACGAGACCATTTGTTCATTTCGCAATCAGGTATCTAATATTGCAACTTAATTTTAATGCACTTATAGCTAGCCGATCGATTTTTGATTTTTGCAATCATTTTGTTTGAATCACGTTAAGCAACAATCGGAGTGACGACATTTTAAACTAAATGTGGAGACGCCTTAAAAATTATATATGAAGCTTTAAAAAACTCTGTTTTATATAAACCTTTCATAGAGAATTAAATTTAAGATAAAATCTTTAGTATACTTAAAACATTCAAAAAAAAGTCGCATGAAATTTTGTTTATCTTATAATTTATGAAAATCCTTTAGATGACAATCTCTTACGGACATTACTTGGTTGTGAACTTCGACCTTATGATAGGTGTACATATACTGTTGAATACTTCTATAGCATTGATTATTTGTATCATATGAAGAATGTAAATTAATCCATAGTATAATACTGTTGTGTTCAAAGACTAAGCCAATATATTTAAAAAGAAATAGTACTAATATTCTCATGCTTCAATATAGGTTTCTGTCAAACTGAGTTCGTGTCTTCGGCTGTATTAATAAAATTTAAATATTATTAAGCTTCGATACATTTTCAATATTTGTTTTAATCCGTTTGAGAACTATGTACGTTGTTTAGTAAATTGAATTCTATAGAAAATAAATATATGCACTTATATTTCGGACATAAGAGACAATTGACTTCAAGGAGCTTGATATTCAAACATTGAATAATATTGATATTTTACTCACTGAAAGCGCAAATTTTCACGTTTTATTGAGTATGCCTAAAACGAGCTATCATGATATATCTTTTGTTGAGAAAGTTTAAAGTTTAAATAAAATATAGCACAAATTATTGAAATAAGGTATTGATTTAAAGTAACGTGTAATTTTCTATTACAAAAGTCTTTTATTAAGTTGTTAAAAGATTATTCTTCACTACGTTACAGTGATCTACTACCAGTTTGTTTATTTTTTTTAACATTTTGTGTCAATGATGAAAAATCAAGATATTAATATCTTGATTTTTCATCACGTGAATATTCACTTTTAATACAAATTTAAGTTTTATAGTTCGGCAACGAAACTATCTGATAAAAATTATACAAATTATACTTTAATCATTAATTTTATTTGATAATAATATTGTAAAAAGAAAACTGTGTCTACAATGAATTTAATTCCATACAAAACTAACCAACCTCCTTTAATTTTCTAATATCTAATCTCAGTCACAAAGGATGATCTCAAAAAGTATTTCAATAATCATAATTTATTTTATATTTACAGAGAAATGTATTCAGGAGACTTCAGTTACTGTTCCTGTGACTCCGAGAGTTGTGCTGACAGTAACAAGTGTTACTGCACAGGTCCCAGAAAAACTGTGCAAGCCGCACAGAGTTCGGAATATCTCAAACCGAAGTCTTATGATAAGATGAAGAGGGGCTACGAAGATTACGAAGGAAGAAGTAGAAGCAGGTAAGAAAACACCAGTTCGCTACCCTTAGTCTGAATCTTCGAACTACGTACGGAGAGTTAATAGTACGCACGTTATAGTATCAGATGCAATAGTGAAAGAGTAGTGGTAACGTTTAAGTGTATCGATGAAAACTCCTGCTAAGCATTCTATTGTCAGTTATAAAATTATGAATCCTCAAATGATATTAAGTAGTTTTTGAATACTAAAACATTTGTTATATTTTAAAAACTAAATTTGTTTTCAGTTAATAATTATAAAATTTTGTCTGGAATAGTTAATAATGCTATAAATAATAAGATATTTAGTCGTAAATTTCAGACATACTTCCTTAATCCCGGACTCATCTATAATCTTGTACGTCCATACATCCATAACCCCCTACGTCCTCCATACATACATAATTTCGTACGGCATTAGATACATAATCCCGTAATACATTTATTTGAGTATATCAAGTAACAAGTAGTAAGTATGTATTATTATTGTAAAGGTCCGGTGCGTCTTATCGTCGTAGACGCGCCCGCAGCTCGGACAGCGTCGCGTTGGACTATGAGCTGTTGTTACAGAATAAAAGGGACGCTCGGGCGAGGAACATGCACCGACTGACAGGTACGTACACACACACACACACACACACACACACACACACACACACACACACACACACACACACACACACACACACACACACACACACACACACACACACACACACACACACACACACACACACACACACACACACACACACACACACACACACACACACACACACACACACACACACACACACACACACACACACACACACACACACACACACACACACACACACACACACACACACACACACACACACACACACACACACACACACACACACACACACACACACACACACACACACACACACACACACACACACACACACACACACACACACACACACACACACACACACACACACACACACACACACACACACACACACACACACACACACACACACACACACACACACACACACACACACACACACACACACACACACACACACACACACACACACACACACACACACACACACACACACACACACACACACACACACACACACACACACACACACACACACACACACACACACACACACACACACACACACACACACACACACACACACACACACACACACACACACACACACACACACACACACACACACACACACACACACACACACACACACACACACACACACACACACACACACACACACACACACACACACACACACACACACACACACACACACACACACACACACACACACACACACACACACACACACACACACACACACACACACACACACACACACACACACACACACACACACACACACACACACACACACACACACACACACACACACACACACACACACACACACACACACACACACACACACACACACACACACACACACACACACACACACACACACACACACACACACACACACACACACACACACACACACACACACACACACACACACACACACACACACACACACACACACACACACACACACACACATACACACACACCAAGACAAAAACGTACACATATACACGCACACACCCACAGACGTACATAGATGTACTTCTATGTATGTCTAATTTGTCAATGTTACAAAATATATATAGTATTACATTTCCAGTCCGTAGTACAGGCGCCGGTTCTCAGGATGCTTTGAGCGTCAAGAAGTCGGCGGAGATGGCGGCTTTATTCGCGGACGTGAGGCTCTCTCAGCGGACGGATGTGCGCTCCTTAGCCGGGGGGCGAAGGCCTAAGCCGCCACCTCTGTCCCCCCACGTACCGTTAGCCAAAATGTTCGACCATCGCCCTTTAAGCAGGAACGCCAGTTTGGAAGACACATTGGGCTACTTCCCATAGATCCCACCACTTTTATATAGTAATCGTGGTTAAAAATATATCATTTATCTTCCTTTTGTTTTATTTCAAATTCAATCTTACAATATATCGAATTAGATCCACTATTAAAAAGCTACAGACATTATTTCTCATGATATAGCTAAAAGTATTCGGAATTATATATTTTCATTACCTCAACATGTATACCACCTTATTCGTAAAAATAAGGAGAAATTATTAGGTATAGTTATAGTTATATGTACTATGTATTTAGTTATTTATTGATAAAAATAACGTTTATGCATAGGCAATGCTCGTGGCTACCGAGATGTATTGCTTTTATTTTCATCTGTCTCTTTATATTAGTTATCTTACGTCAATGATTGTGCAATATGTTTCAATAAAGTTTTCAGTGCAATACGAAATGTGTAAATAAATTTTAATAATATTAATGCCTTTTATTGACCTCAGCTTTTAATATATAGGTAAATATTAAAGAAATCCGAGTTAGTTACAGAATTTGTAAATCAAAGAACGTCTGTACTGATTTGGCTGGAAATTAGTGGGAGAGTAGTTTAGAACTAGGTGACGAATGGGTTATTTTTCATCCCTTTGTTCGAAAAAAATAAATTTACTCAAGAAAATCTGCTTATTTATATCATCTTTAGGCGAAATAGAGTTAGCCTGGTGAGCTATAGCTGTACTATACTCATATCTATAGGCACGAGTACATTTCTAATTCTGAAACTAATTAGGACAAAGTCCCCTGTAAAAGATAGTATATATATATGTATTTTATTTCTTATAAGTCTCCAGTACTTTCCTATGATAGTCCTTCAAAAATACAATCCGTTGGATTTATCTTATAAAGCCATGAATTTAAATTACATTAAAAAAAGAAAACAATTCAAGAATCTTAATTTCTCATTTTATCAAGTCTTCTCTTGTTTCTACATATTTAGCTCGGTAGTGGCCGTTCAAATTGTACAGTCAAGTTAATATACTAAATTCTTAACGCACTTAATGATTGAATGAACGACATACCTATATGTATTTAATTAAATTTAGATTTTTAATGATTACTAGTTTTTGCCCGCGACTTCGTCCGCGTTAATTTCGTCATTAGTAATACATATATGTATAGCTGACCGGGCGAACTCTATTCGGTCCTAGAGGCAGTAAATAACTAGGTATTAGTATTCATTAATTTTTTCTTGTTTCAATCGAACAGAATGATTGACATATCAGTTAGTTGTCAAATTTAATATTTAAAAAAACCGTTTGTATGGGAAATAGAATCGGGCTGTTTTTAGGGTTTTCCCGAAAATTATTCAATTTTTTTCACTTTTTATCCTTCCCTGAACCTCCACAAACATTTCAAGACCAAGATAAGATAAATCCGTTCAGCCGTTCTCGAGTTTTAGTGAGACTAACGAACAGCAATCCATTTTATATATATATAGATAGCATACCAAAAGATAATGCACAGTGTGCTGTGAGTTCGAAGGAGGATTCACCAATTTCAGGTGCTTATTATTGTAGATTGAAGTCTAAACTTGCAATAATTTTTTGCCTTTCACAAGAGAAATTAACAACTATTTATGTCACACCAAGATGTCTAAACATTTTTAATGATAGATCCATTTCACAATAACTTATTATTCAATAGGGTACATTGACATAATATGTTAAAATATTCTAAAAGAGCAACTGTTATGTCTCTACAATACAATACTTGAATGGTTTAAAATGTTCATGCCTATTTTAATGGTATTCATAAATATGGAATATTAGAAGAAAATTCTTGTTTAATTGAAACATAGTGTAATCAATAAACATTTATTAACACTTCAAAGATACATTGTCAGTTAAGTTACATCTCTACAATACAAGTACACTGGTCCGAAGCCTTGTCTTAAACATTTCCAATAATCACTTAAACTAATAATTGTTCCGAATTAAAAAAAAACATAAAATGCAAAAGAAACAATTTATTCAAGTTAAATATATTTTGTTCAACAATTCATCTGTTCATATAATTATGTTAATCCCTTACACATGTTATAATTTATATTTACAAAGGTATATGTGACGTTAAATGAGTATTAATAATTATTTTTAACAATAAAAGGTTTCTTTTACATAACACAGTAGTATTCAAACAGTATATATATTTTTTTCTTTTAATTTTTTATATTTAACATATGACAAAAACGAAGGTATGCAATTTGAAATTACTCTTTATGTTTTTAAATCAATATCTATGGAATAGTCATTCATTTGAGTTAGTTTGTGGATTACAAAAATGGTTTTTAATAAGATAATTAAAAGCAAATACACAGCCGCATTATAAGATAAAACGTTATGTAGATGCTGCGTTTGCTTGCATTATTCTTATTATTTTTAACAATAGTTAAAGTCAAATTGCCTAAAACAATGATCTATATAGTCCATTTCAATAGAAATCTCAATCTTGTAAACAAACGTGATTGCAGTCTTCAAGATACTGTAATCTTAATTATTATATTTAGGTATTAATATAAATTACTTTAATTTGTTCATATTTTGTTAAGTATAAATTATAAGTGGGCTTTTTTATATGAGTTTAGAAATGCAGAGTGAATTGAAATGCTGAAACGAGAAAATAGAAGAGTTTTTTGAATCCTAATAATACTAAAAATCCTTGGTTCCTTGGGAAACTAAGGACCCCAAAGACCGTACAATCAAGGTTAATAGATATTACGAGACCACTGACGATTGAAAAAATTATAATTTATACTTTTTAGCGCTACCTATGTTTAGTTCCTTTTGCCAAATGCCAGAAAAACATTGCAATTTTGATTGATTGACAGATTTTATACCGGTCAGCTAGACACTTTTAAGTGTGAAAGTAAAGTAAATTATCATGTACACCACAAATTTTTCAAAGAGAAATAGTTTTTGATGAGTAAAAAATATTCGAAAATTACAAATGCAATAAAATTTACACTTCGAAACATTTTTTAAAATAAACATTTATAGACAGTTGTTTTATGATGAGTTGATTTATATACGTAAGAACGGAGTAATCGTGGTCAGTTTCTTTGTTTACAAGATTGCCAATTTATATTCAAATGGACTATAAATGAATATATATTATAAATAACTTTAAGAAGACTAGCTATACAATATAATTTCATTTTTCATAATAACGGATATATCGATAATAATAAAGTTATACAAGAACGTCTCTCACAAATTATTTACAACGTTACACAAGAATCGATAAATGACAAATAATTAATAACACAATATTGATCTTAAGTGAAACTATACGATTTTTTTGATTACAATATAATCATCGTCATAACATGCTTTAACAGGTGATGTTTTCTATATTTCTACTATGGCATTAATAAGGTCTGACAGTACCGAGCCTGCCTCGAGGTATTGGTTCAGCGTAGCTGTGTCTGAACTTCGCTGGTTGTCTTTCAGCTAAATCACGGAAATCTCTGTAATCTCTATCAAAGAACCTATCCCTGTCCCCTTCGACGTAGGACTGCCGCTGTTCGTCCAACAAACGGGAACGACTGAACGCTCTCTGTCTGTCAGTCCAATCTCTCTTTCTCTCCTCAATAACTGGCTCAATGACCTCGTCTTCGTCAATACGGCGATCTAATTCTCTCCTCTCTCTATACCGATCGTATTCATCCCTATGTGCTTTTGTCTCGTTTCTGTTCAAGTAATCCTCTGTCCCATACTCGTACCTCTTGACCTCATCCCGTTTCCGTCCAACACGAGGTAGTCTTTCTATTTCTCTATGCCCTATATCGGTTGTTCCCAAGTCGCGCACTCTCTCTTCTTTGCGTCGTTCTGGTTCTCTATGTGAACGGTCCAAGTCTCTATGAGAGCGATCGTTTTCTCTGCGAGCACCAGATTCCCTGTGACGCTCTGGACGCTCATCCCTAATTTCTTCCTCTGGAGAAGAAGTTGAGCGACCGTTTCTTTCTAGCATGCTACGTCTCATTGCCATGTGTGCTTCCAGTTCCCTGTTAAATCTTTCCCTTTCTAGATTCATAAACTTTTCTTTAGCCACATTGAATCTTTCTTTAGGTGTGACATCATTTACTTTTAGACTACCTTCGCTTGCACCCCGCTGCAGTTTACCAAATCGTCTATCCTCTACTCTATCTATGCTACGGTTGGAAGGTTTAGTCTCTGGAATAAACCTACGTCGATAGTTTGTAGGTTCCTCTTCAAATTTATCTGTTTTGTCTTTGTTAACGCGTTCCAGGGATTCATGACGGAAACGACGTTCAAAAGTTTGATCGCGGAAGGGAGCCAGTTGGTCGCGGAAGTGATCATTGAAGTCATCATTGTAAGTTCTGTCGTAGCGAGGTGAGAGTGCACGATGAGGTGTAGATGTTGGACGGGTTGGTGATTGACGGCGAGTTGGTGATTGGCGTCGAGTTGGTGATAGGTGACGAGTTGGAGATGGGCGACGAATTGGTGATGCTCTACGAGAAGGTGAAATCCGACGAGTCGGTGAAGCGCGCCGAGGAGAAGCATCAAAAGCTTCATGCATCATATAAGCAGTACTCTCAGCCCAATCCTCTTCTGTAAAAGTATTCGTAATGATAAATTAATGATTTATACATAATAAAATTTATTAATATTTATTAATATTATGAGTAACATTTCTATATATATTTTAAGGAATCGCTTGGCCTTATGACCTGCTTTTGATATCGATAATTTATTCAGAACTGAACAAAATCCATTGTCAAAATTCACTTTTACATATAACGGGGTTTTATGTTTTCTCCACTAATCTTTACTACTTTTGCCACTTATTAAGCGAGTTTATTACAAACATTCTCATGAAATAGGACTGTTTTTGCGAAATTACTCTCTTTATATATGAATATAAATAGTTTAACAATATTTTAATGTTGTGGTCTTTATTATATTATTATAAAATGATACTACTAAGTTCATTTGTAATTTGAAGAGTAAATGTCAGTAATGAAGAATTCATTAATTCAGCAAAAGAAAAACTTGTTTATTTAATAAACCTATACAAGATACGTTGCTTATATCTTTTTCAAATTCACATTTGTTATCTGTCGTCTGATTTAGAAAGAAAAGAAGCATTATGACTAAAATGAAACGGTGAACGTAACAAAAAACATATTTAAAATAATAAATAATATTTCTCACGTTATAATAAAACACATTTAAGAAGTTAAAAATCACTAGATATTTTTCATCTCTTAAACCAAAATACTAGACAATTGAATTATTATCAACAAATAATGATGTCTGTAATCGTTTCTTAATATTCATGGACACCATAGAAAAAAGACAAGGAAGGTCATGCTTGTAGAATTTTGTAACAATGACTTTTTGTTTTGCATACATTAGCTGATTCACAGCTAAATTATAGCTCACTTTTCAATAAGCATTGTTAAGATAATTGTGTGATGAAGAGTTACTTGTACCGAGACTAGGTTGTATTATGTACAAAGGGAATAAATTGTTGTTAGACAGATGCATTTCATAACTGTGTCTCGAATAATAATCATTTTTGACTTCGTCTTCAGACAATGTTTTGTGGAAACATTTTTGTGTCATTATACACTAAGGTTAATCAACTTGTACAATATTTAAATTAATTACATTCAATATGTGTACAGAAAAAGCGTAACGCGTGCTAATGAAAGCGAAATATGCATTGAAGTGTAGAATTATGGATCTATAAATTTTATATTCAAGTTTTCAAGGTACATTAAATGAATAACGACTATAGTTTTATACATTTATCAAAAAAAAAAATATTGAAACACGTATCAACTATTAAATAATATTATACTTCGTTTAATAGTTAAATCTTCGTGACTGGTATCATCTCCGGATTCTTAAAGTTCGTAGTATATCTAGTCAAGATTATCACAATATTAAATACATCGGTGATCTCATCACTGACTTCACAATATTTAATATTAAGCATTAGCTTGTATGTATTAATTTAGGTCAGATAATATTAAAACGAAACTTTAAAATAATAAAAAATATCACAAATTTTCGTTCAAGATATTAAAGTTTCTGGGTCAATGGCGTTTAATTCAATTATATATCATTTATGTATTAATTTAACATAAATTCAACATTATTTTATTGCAGCTTCCTCGTTTTATTAACATTTAATTTTCAAATGTTAATTGATTTATATCCTAATTATCTTATTATTCGTGATGTAATAAAATTTTAAATGCCTGTTTATTAAGGAACTATTATAAGCACTATATATGACTTGTAAAACGATAAATAAATACTGTACACAGCACATATAATTAATTAGGAAATTAGCTATTGTATATTAGGATTTTTTTTTATTTTTGCTTGCAAGCAAGGATATTGCAAGCAAGGAAATACTTCAATGATTTGAAAACAAGGAATTCTTACCGCTTGTGCTGTGATTGTCATGTCGTGGGTATTCGTTCCTCTCGGGGGATGGGGCCATGTCGCTGCCGATCCCGGAACTGCCACCTGATGAAGCCAGCTTCCTACGCGCGTTGATCCCTACGATGTTTTGATTGAGACAGCGACGCGTATCAATATTACTCAGGTTGCCTTTCTGGCGATGTACCGTGTCATAATCACGAGGTGGAAGAAGGATTGGACTTTTACCTGGAAGGACAAAAACAGTAATGTTTACAAGGATTTAATAAGTTTTGTCCCATTATCTTATATGTAATCAAGCTTTCACAATAATTGCGTAAATAGATACTGCATGTATATAAAAAAATGAATTTAAACTTGAGTAACATATTTAAATAATAAGTAAAGCTATATATTCTAAGCATGTTATACGCAGTGAAATATTTTGGTAAGATTTCATTAATAAAGCATAAATATTATACCAATCTAATTTAAAAAAGAAATTCGACTGACCTATTCCCTTTTTACCTGTAGACAACTTCTGTTTGAGCTCAGCAGCGAGGCTGTCATATAGATTGGCCACATTTCTATCTTCTGTACTGCCAGAATCAGATTCTCTAGACACTTCACTGCCAAGGGACGAGTCTGGAGGTTTCTTGGTTGGTAATGCTCCTCGCATTTGAAGTTTCCTCTCTATATCAGCGAACTTCTTCTGGTTTTCAGGACGTTCGATCAACGCCAGAAGGTGGGTGTACAGCATCTCCGCAGTGTGATCCGAATCACATCTATAAAAGACGACGAAATTATTACTCAATAAGCGGTCAACCAATGCATAAATATTTTAAAAAAATGTACAAATTCATTATACATGTGTTATTTATTATAAAACATATAGAAATATTTCGTAAAATGATTGACCAAATTATTTCGTTATATGAGATTAAATATTTCATTCTAGAATTTCTCAATACGCGGTTGAAATTTTAAAACCGTGAACATTTGACAACTTTTTAGTCGCATTGCTCGTCCAAACAGCTAGCATCAAACGGTTGCTAAATACGAAATTAAACTAGTCAATTCAAGCCTAAACAGTACTAAATTAGGTTATTACTTACGGTTAAGGAGATCACCGTAACACAAGTGACCGAGCAACCTAAGATACTTTACCTAATCCGGTATGACGACTTCGAACCGTTTTATGAAAACGTGTCACTCAAACACTATCGATACTCGATATTCACAAGCCAAATCACTATTGGCATGTGTCAGAAAATCACGCATTCCTTAGTGTTGTGCAAGTTAATGTCAAAGTTGAAGTTTTTGACAAGGCCTCATTACTAGTGCCGGTTTTGTGTCAATTATGTTACATCATAAAAACCATTATGGTTTTTGGTACGAGTTCCTTCGTATTTAATAATAATACGAATATTTATACTACAGACAAGCGAAGAATTTATAATTTACTAATAGACAATGGAATGATTACGAGTGTTATATACGATTTCTATTGAGACGAGAAGATAATGGGAAATAATTGACAAATGATTAGGAAAACTATACATAAAATAAGACGAATTGTGCGACGTGAGGGTTTAATCGTCGAGATATCAATGATTACCACATGTCATGTAATTTATAATTTACTATCGTCATCGATTGAGTAATCGGAATTAACTCTACGTTTACTGGAAATATGAAATTCCTTTTTACTTATGTTTAAAAATATATATTTCATTGTCATTGTTAACCGAAGTACAATATAGAAAAATACTATTATACATATTTTTATGATAAAATTTATAGATGTCAGTTTTAAAATTTAACAATTTTATACCAAATATCATGAATATTTGTTTAGCGGTTCAGCTGTAAGAAGATAACAGTCAAATCGAGAGCCATAGTTACTTTCTTAGTTATAATATCAGTACAAAACGTTTCACTGTCATATATTCCAGGAAACAATTACTTCAAATATATAAATGAGTCAGTAAATATATGTTAGCCCAAATGAGCTTAAATTAAAAGTGAATAGAGACTCGAGATTACCCGTAATTATAGTATATTAAAGTATCGTAAGTATTGGTAATAGCGTTAAATTTGTGCTAAGCTTTCAAATAATACCCGGTCGTTTAAGTTCCAATAGATATATCCAGAGCCATATAATTACAGTTTAAATGACATTACTTGACAAATAATTACATGATAACGGTTATTTGGAATGAGTGATGGTGACTTTTTTGAGAATTTACACCATTCATGTGCTATATTAGTGTGAACAACATTATTTTTTTATTTATAACGAATATTCGTAGATTTTTCTCCCTTTTTTTACTGATTTCACCTTATTTAGTCTCAGAAATAAAGAATCTAAGTGATTTTTTTTTGAGAAGAGTAAATACATGAGAATTATGTTCACATTTTTTTTTCTTGTTTTATTTTAAGTTTGTGTTCGTAAAAACGTTGCAGGTGTATAAATGCTGACATTTTGTATTCAATGCCGCGTGTTTAAGGAAGGTTAAATATTTATAATGAACCCGGATGCGGGCAGAACATGATGATGTAAAATTTACATATAAAACGAATTCTTTGATTCCCTTTTAGATATCTGGAAGGACGTAAAATTTCGCACTTTAAGAGTATATACGGTTAAGTGATATAGAAATTGCATACAGTTTCTTAATTTTCAGGAGAGAGAGAGAGGTAGAATGATAGAAAGAGAGAGACGATGAGTAGAGTAAAAGTAACATTTAAAAGAAAATGATTGACATTTTACTTTAATACATAGAATAAATATATACGAGTAGAAGTGTGGAATCCTGTTTTTCGTATGACTCAAGAAGATTGTTCTAGGTCTGAACAATGAATGTCAAGGATATAATTATGTTTTCATTATCAACAGATGTTCTCATTATAATATAGAACTAATTAAAACAAGTGGAATTTATTGCGTAATATATTTTCCATTCAGATTACACATACATAAAGTGTTTCAAAAAGAATTAATTTACATTTTTGGAATATCAACGAGGAAACTTGTATCAGAAACCTATTTAGTGGCGATTACTTTTATTATTTGTATCCATGGCGAGATTGGGTAAAGTGAAATGACAGGAACTAAGTGAATGTCCCAAAAAGAATCTTTGGTGAAATACTAATATTCATTTAAAATTTGTGACGCTTAAAAAAAAGGGAATGTACTTGCTTTCGATATCATAAAAATGACCATGGCGGATGTTTTGTGCTTCGCGATTATTAGAATTTAAGATGTTATTTTCTTATAACAACTTCTTGCTAATAGTTTTTATGGATATTTTTTTTTTTTACGGAAATTTAAAACGACTCCGGTGAAAGTGTCGCGGAATTTTTACGGTTGTGGCATACCGGTTCCTATAACACAAATATTAGTGACCAACATACGAATTGACTAACAGAGGTTTACTTTTATAAATCTAAAATCAGGTCTTACATTCGGAGACGAGAAAAAAATTTAATACAAAAATACAATACTGGAGAGTCGTCTTACAGTAAAACATTTCAACTCAGCATTTTAAAGAATGCCTTGCTTACATAAGCAACCGTTTTCCCTAAATTTTGAGTCATCAAAACACGTATAAACATAAATTCAACTGCGCTTCACAATCGTTTGAAATCATTAATTTAATTATCTTAATAATCCCTTGTATTAAAGATATCTTATAATTAATAGCTAAAAGCTCGAGTCATATCTAATAATTCCATGCATATTTAATGGAAACTCGTTTTCCTTTATAATAATTAGAAAGTATAAGTAACGTTTCTCGTAACAGGAAAGCGGTTAAGATTGAGGATCTTTGTACATAAATAAACAAGATAATCTATTCACAACGTTGTAATGTCTTAATGGTAATTAACTAAGACCAGATTAATAAGGTGCGTGACAAGGATGGAGTATCCTTGTAAAGGGAGCGAGGGAGATGGATGATTTGATATAAATCTTAAATACACTTGATTCAAGGACATAGAATCTTCATTATATAGAAAGTAGGATTTGATTTACATATAACCAGTGGACCTGACCTCTTATGAATTGTCATAATTTAATGCAAATAAAATTAATTTGATTTTTATCATCTATTTCTGAAAATACGAATTATTTTACTGTATAAAGGCCAATGGCGAGCCGGAATTTTACAGTGGAATTGAATATAACGCTAAAAGAATTATCACGTTTTATACATTCGAAACGCTAATGTTAAAACTAAAGACAATATTTTCCGGGTCACAGATACATCCAAGGGCGTCACGATATTGGTTTTAAGAGTTTGATCAAAAATAAATTATAATTAATTGATTTTTATAGTAAGAACGGACTATGTTAATGAAAATATCTATAAAAAGGCAATACGGTTATCGAACAGGTTAGAGGCAAAAGGTTATAAAGATAGGCCTTGTCACAAATACTTGGCAAGTCGGTTTGATTCAGAAGACGTCAGCCGTGATATGTCACTAGGGTTGCCACTATATATTTAATCATATTAAACAACACACAAGTGCCATCCTTAACTAGCAATGCATATGAAAATAACTGAAATAAAACTTCATTAAATATACATATTATCGTATTTTATCATATAAATAATTGCTATAATATCTAAGACCTTTGAACAACCGTTACAACGCATTACCTACATTCGTTAATTGCAGTATGAACACTTGCATGGGAAGGATTGGCGACAAGGAAATACCAGACATGACTAATTTGTCTTAGAATAACAATAGAATTGTTAGCTAAACGCTTCAATGACTATCTTACTTTCTCTTTAAAACGCATATCCTCTAGTGTTTAATACATACCGATGTCAAATTATTTGTAAATATCCTACATTCTCAAAACATACGCAAATAAAATTTTCTAAACACAAACTAAATGACTTTTACTAAGACTAAACTACTAAACAATCACATTCTTTACAGAACTAAGGTTTCACTATCATAATTAATTATATATTTTTTTGTCCGTCAGTCCATTAGACCGAGTTCATATGAGATGCCCTGAGGCTAAGGCAAAGGTCTTTATATTAATGATGCTTTCTCTTATCCACTTTGCGTGTAAAGGCTTATTAAGGATTTGTTAAGCTATTAACAACCAGCTTTTCTCTTCCATTCTGTCTAACATTTTAGAAAGTATATAAATAAAATAATTACAATTAAATAAAATAAAATATTCTTCCTGTAAATTAATTACCAGATATTTTGCAACATAATTTTCGACTTGTACATTGTGTGTGCCATTTCGTTAACAAAACGGTTGCCTCTCACAGTATAACCTTTATAAGTAAATGCAAATCTTCGTTTTCATGGAGAATATCAGGCAATTACGACGAAATCACGCTTGTTACTTTACAGTTTTGATAATTCACACAAGCACATTTAGTTCAAAAATTAAAATGTATGCCATTGTTTTTATAAGGTAACCGTAATTTACACTTGATTTGAACATTCGTAATACAAAATAAGGAATATAAAGAAGTTATATATAAATTAATTTATGTTTATTAGAATCATAAATATTTTTTCTAATATGTTATTTCAATTCACGATTCGGAGCGTGGAATGCGGCTATGAATATATCACAACTTTATATTAGTCCACAGTTTATAAATATATATTATTGTGAATTTATTATTATATAATTTTTAATTACTATTAAGATTACTCTGTGGCATTATAATCTGTATGTAAGATTTTAAATCCAACCTGATGTGCAACGATGTTATTCAATTTCAACATTTGTATTGAAACTTTAAAATGTCAGTGCTTCGTTTATGTTCCGCGAGGTTGTAGAAATGGTTAATATTATATACATATAAAGACTATATAAAAATAAATACAAACCATACAAAAATGAAATATAGTCGAGCATAAACTTAATATATTGTACGTAAACCAAAATTTTATTTGATTTTTATTGTGAGTGAAATAGTTTAAAAAAATAGATAATAACATAATAGATTATAAATAATAGATAATAGTTTTTAAATAATCGGCGGTAACAATACAAACTGTGAGATACTTTACTGAATACAAAAATTTATACAACAATCTCAACAATTTTTAACGAAAAAAAACGAAAATGATGAAAACATAATAATAAAATATTTTGATACACTCCCTTGAATAACAAGTCAATAAAATTAACAAGTATGTCATAATGACAGCTTCATTTACTTAGATAACAAGTGTCAGAAAAAATTAGACATTTGACATTTGTGGATGCCGTGACCTTCGGTATTATTATATAATTAAATTATATAATTGTTTATGAATTAATCACGTTTCAAATGTTAAGGTTTTAGTAATATTTGAATAGATAGAAGATATTTCAAATCATTATGAAGCTATGTTAAACGTATTTTATTGCATTCCCAAAGAGGGTTGATGTCAGGCAGGCGGCCGGTCGTAAAAATAATTAGACAAAACTATTCACAACATGTAAGGCAGACCTTGGCAAAAGCTGGGGAATTGCCAGGAAGAAGAAGTAAATTTATTCTATATATTTACTGTTGATAAATTAAATAAAACGGGTCCACTGTATTACTCTGAGTTTCCTACATTTAATGTGATATAATGTGAATGCAATCTTATAACAGAACTTTGTTCCTTTGATGTCGTTTCATAGAAATGTGCAAATCACGACGTCTCAGCACGACCGCTTTTCTAATGTTGTAATGATTGAGTTTGTTGTACACAAATAAACATTTTGAAGTTTTTTACATAAAAAAAAACTAAGTTTTATAACACGGTTCAGTGAAATATTTATACGATGTACACTTTATTATTTGACCACAACACATTTATTAGCTTCTTTCTGAAATTAGCGAATGTAGTTTTTATGTTAAAAAAAATATCATTCGAAGCATGAAATGTATAAAAACTTTTAGCTGAAACCCGGATATTAGTATCTTTTTTTTACAAGATGACGTTAAAGTCTCAAAAAACCTACATTTCAGTTAAGAAAACCAAAGATAAAAGAAATATTTTCGTATATTAACCGAAACAACTAACACGATCTTCATAATTTATGGAAGACTAGCTGACCCGGCAGACTTCGAACTGCCTCAATCAAGAAATAAATTATGTCTTATTTATTTTTTTGGTGTTCATCTTTAAGCCATAAATCTCCGTGTTCTGAAGTGCGACAAAATGATTGACATATTAGTTAGTTGTCAAATCTAATGTCAAAAAACCGTTTGTATGGGAAATAAAAAAGCGCTGTTTTTAGGGTGTTCCCGGAAATTAATAAAAAAATTTCAGCTTTTAAACCTTCCCTGAACCTCTACGAACATTTCAAGACAATGATAAGATAAATCCGTTCTGCTGTTCTCGAGTTTTAGCGAGACTAAGGAACAGCAATCCATTTTTATATATATAGAAGATATATAAGTATATTATCACGCATAATTTTGTCAACCATTCAAACTCTGTAACTATAATGAATGCAATGAGTATTTAAGCAGTGCTATTTTATGTATATATAATGTATAAATTAAGTAACATACCTGTAAGCATGGACGTGGACTGGGCAGCCAGTGATGGGGTTATACAGCAGTAGGACGCAGGCCACTACGTCTCCTTGAACCACAGCACTCGTGATGCTTCCGTGTGGTATGAAATGCTTGATAGTCTGCTGCTTGCCCTTCGCTGTCACATTCTGAATGATTTTAAGCCCTTTGTGGGATACCTAGAAGAATAATCTACCTTAGTATCACTAGTGAGAGGGTGAAGCTAAGACATAAAATGTACACACTTTTCGTTTTTGGAACTAATAAATAGGGCAGCCTTTAGATTTAGGTATAAAGGACTTTTTTGAATTCCGACATCTCGAAGGAAATTTCAGAATTATATTAAATAATTCCTTGATGTTTTCTGAACAGTACGCATTTTACTATAAGAATTATTTTAGATTTTACTCCAAAATGATATTATTGATCATGATTTGATATTTTTTGTTAATCGAATTGCAATGCCTCGAAAGTCAATATGTCTAAATCGTGGTATAAATATTTAAACCATCAAATATGGAACAGTTCTGAGGGAGTAGATAAGGTCAAACTTCACCTGTAATGTTACTTTGAATGGCTCCAAGTCCCTAGCTCTTTCTTCCAGTAGCTGTATCGCTGGTACTGCGAACTCTTGACCCCTCAATCCACGTGACTCCTGGGCTCCAAGGAACCACACGTAGTAGGAAGCCTTCTTTATGTCCTTTTTTAAACGTAACGCCATTTTGTTGTCACTATTATGTCATTGTTGACTATCTGAAATAGAAGTTTTTGATTAATCTAACGCAATTTTTTTACATTTAATTCAAATTCAAGCTACATATACACTTCGCAAAACATTTCCAGATGTTTATTGCACCACAGAAAATCGCAGTCGGAGTAACAAATTGTCTATAATAAAATTGCTCGGAACGTAATCGTTGCGCAACAAGAGCCTTTGTCCTCCGGTGGTCAATTTGTATATATACATAAAGTTTCATCATTTTTGTACATTTTTAAACTATACACACATTATGTATATAATTTTACTTCAGTCACAGCAATGTGAGTGTCTATTTAAAATATGAAAATAGTATTACTATATATGAATTTATTAGACATCTAATTTAAAAAGACGAAGTATATCTATGAATACAATTGTGGTTAGTAAATCAAGGCGTTAATTTAAAGATTCTAAAAGATTGCATCTAATTGAATAATAAATTTAATTCTAAATAAATATATTAACGAAGAACATAGAGAACATAAAAATAATAGTTTTATTTTTTCAAATAGATAAAAAGTTATGATTTTTTTTATAACAATATGGTTTGTCACGTAATTAAAGTATATACAGTTAATAATATATTTGTATGTGTGTGTGTGTGTGTGTGTGTGTGTGTGTGTGTGTTAAAATAAACGAGAGCGTTTTCTCATTTCATTTATAACTATTAATGTACGTTTGTGTTTTGTAAATTTTCTCACGCATTCGTTGCTACACACGACTTTTAAACCTTGACTCGTTTTCATAACTCTTGAATCAAACTGAGAAACTTACTTACTTCATCCAAGTTTTTAGTAAAGTCGAATTGGGTTGTAATAAGGATTTATATATATAATATTTGTATTGTGAAAATTATATGCCAGTCTTATAAAGTTTTACGGGACTATATATTAATAAGTATAAGTATAGTAATAGAAAAACCAGGGTTATTATAGAATAAAGAGATTCAATCTCACTTTGAAAAATATATTCGACTTTAGTTTATCTGTTACTTTCTTTGGAATATAAAAGTATTTATCAAGAGAGGATCAATTATAATAGGATCTTTAACTTTAATGTTATTAATCGTATGTCGGAAAAACAGTAAGGATTTGTGTTAGATATAAATAATAAAATGCAGTATAATCAAGATCTTATATGTTAAAGAACTTATTAGAATATGTGTTTATTTATAATTATAACACCTAACACCTGTGCTCAAAGAATAATTCATAAAATATATATGCAGTGATCAATCAAGATATAATTTTAACAGTACATTAATGTAGAAAGAATAAGTGATACGTGTTCATGTGTTAAAATTATCACCGCCGGCTGACACCGTTAGATGTACTTGTAGATCATAAAAAGAATTTTATTCCGTTAACATTTTGTGAAAAGGCTTCTAAATTTAAATAATAGAAATGTATCTCATGTAATTTTATACGATCGTCACCTTTTTTATATTGTAGTAAAACCTTTTTGGTTTATATGTGAAAATAAATTAAGAATAAAAAGTTTCTAGTAATGAATTTTCCGTTTATGATCACGTAGTTCTTTATAATAATTTTACCGCAAATTATAGAGACATCCATACACAATACACTATTGTATATTTTGTATCCAAAAAAAGATTAACAATTGACAATAAATTTTTACATTGACATCGATGAGTATGAAATAAAAGTGCAATTCTCATACTAACACTTGAACTTAATAGGTTTGAAAGACAAAAAATGTTTCCCATTGTTATAATATTTTTTTTTTATATGGCAATGATATATCAGTGTCAGTGAATAAATGTTCAAATAGATCTTTTTATGAATGAATCTTAATTATTCTCTATAGTTAAAAACTATTGCCATTTAAAAAAAATCTACAATGTTTTTATCATGAATATATACAGCCTCAACCTAAATCGTATTTTAATTTTTTTTTTCATACAAGTTGAATAGTCATGTCATGTCATTGATTATTTATAAATGGAATTACAATAATGTTAACATAATTAACAGACAAATGAAGCAGGTGTTCAGTTGATTCGTTAATGTGCGGGCGTAACCCGTCACGGCTGTTAGCATTAAGATGGCGGGTGACGCAATAAGTAACCAAAACACTTATAACAGTATCGGAATTTAACCTCGGCGAGTACAATTTGGAAAACGGTCAATGTCCTTTGTAATCAAATTAATAAGAATGCTTGTGGTCGACGTTTCACTAGACTCAAGGCGCGTTGCCAAAGCCTTTATTATTTCAATTGATAATAATTGTACAGAAAATTTATATCGATTTCCTTGTATTACATCAATTTAACAACGGCCACCGACTTCTTGCAACGGTCGTTGTACTGCAGACGTGCGAAGTCGTTCCTGTTTTTTGGTGTTCCGTTTTTATTTGAGACATTTACACCACGAAAATAAAATATTGTCAGCTATTTATTACATCGCCTTGAAACGCAGCCAGTCGCCGAGAAAAAAGCGCTTTCTGAAATAAGCCAAGCGCTCTATAGAATAGCCAATCAGTAACCCGGATAATTCGTGCAATTTTCAAAAGCACTGTATGTACTAATGACGAAGCGTCGCACATCACCGTTACAATTCTACCGTTACAGTCGCTAACGGTTACATAACCACGCAACCTAACCTTAGTTAATTGCAACCCACATACAGATAATTGTTTATTAGAGCATATTTAAAATATTTTCGCCATTTTCTTAAGGTTATTTCGAAATCGCCATATTATTTTGGCCTCTAAATGAAGAATAAATTAAGGTTAATTCATTTGACTCACAGTCCACAGGTTTCGTCAAATGTTACTGTGGAAAAATACACAACATTTTTGTGTAATTTTAAAGATATTTTTTGTATTTTAATTTTATATATGTTTGTAAAACATATTTATATATATACCAGTTTTGTTATTGCTTTAATTAGGGCGAAAATATTACATGTAGTGTTGTCAGAGTATTGGTATACTGGGCTCGCCTTCCGTCCGCAATCCGATGTACTAGAATAATAGCGTATTGTTCCAACAAGTCACGAGCTATTCTAGCTTAAAAATATTAAGTCTAATTAGAAGGTATTAAGGTTTATTTTTCTATAACGGGTATTAAAGAAGCCACGGTGTCACAAGTGCAGGCAAACAATTTCATTGTCCCGAAGAACACAAGATTGAACTTATGTTTTTCCCAGAGCGCGTTTATTTCCGTTACATGTTAAATTAAAAATAAGAAGTCTTAATAATAATTACATTCTTTTATATATATGTAAATTATTTGTTTGTTTCTAATGAGCAATTTATATGAATTTCGTAAACCTTTGATACTATTTTTCTAAATAAATTTCAAATAAAATGCCTGTACCTGTAAATAAAATATATTGATAATTGATCCGTCATCTCAGCAGATTAAGAAAGTCAGTTGTAGCGATGTGGATACAATTAAAATTTTATCACGACAATTGATTTTTAATCATGCGTTCATAAATGCATCTAACATTCAACACTGATATTTTAACAATAGATTAAAATTCCCTTTTATAGTGACTGAAGACAGTCATGTTTTGATTCTAATATCACTGATCAACAAAATTTTCAAACAAGAAGAGCACTTGCTAATTTAAAATGACCTACCTACCCTTATTTTATTACCATACTTATTTTGATTGCATCAGGTCTAGATTTCGTGGTATACACTACACACAAAATCAAAAGACTTTGTTTATTAGGAAAGCGTAGTGTTTTGTTCTAGTTTGAGAATGATTCTTAAATAATAATCGTTTATGCGTGTCCTTAAAACTTTCAAAACCATACTAGTGGTAGATGCTACCTATTTATGGTACTATTTATTTTTACTACGCAAATTGCTAAATGCAAATGGCTGACAGTGAATAATTTCATTTTACATTAATTACGTTGAATCGTATTTCATAGCGCATTTTATATTTACATTCTAATGGTACGGCGTGTAATCGGAACTAATTTTTGTTTTGCTATTGAGTTGATTTGTTGGAAATGGCTTGACTAGTTTCAGTAATCGATTTTAAAATATTTTCATTCAATAAAATCGTCTGATTTAGTTTAGTCTCTTAGTTTTCTTATTTAAATTAAATAATATTTACAAATGGCAGAATAACTTAATACCGGTACACATTAGGTAATGATTACATTATACATTACTGACGTAACTTCCCGCGGAAGTATCCGATCACCGATCACATTGCTTTCATCCTATCACCAAGAAAAAGGTTACATATGCTAATGGTTATGTTCATGTTTTTTCCTTATTAGTTTATTACCAAGGAGTTTTGATATCAACTGTCAGTTTATAAAATACATAAAGAAGTATGTATTTGGAAAGTGTTACTGGTAAAAGCTTTTTCTTAGTAACTTATTAATTTTAACTTTTTAATAGTAACTTATTAAGTAATATACAATGTTTCGTTTTTTATTATCAGTTAAAGTTAACTTTATCATCGCTTATCGTTTGGTTCAACGACCGAAGATATTGGGATGAACCAAATTTTATATCGAAAAAGAACACCTTGCTTGAAATAGAAATATTAGAACTTTTTTACTTCTATTTCACATATTTTGTGCCAGAATTAATCACAGTTTCTATCAAGCAATCAATATATTCAAGTTAAACAATTTAAATACTTCCAAATCAAATTAGAGGACTCTTTTTAACAAGTATTTAAAAAGCTGAGGGATTAGGAATTAATAAAGTATATACTTATGTATTTCACGAGGATTTAAATGCATTGTTAATTAATTTGGCTGTGCATCTGTATTGTAATTTCAAAATGTTCATTATATACACAATAAAGTTTGATGCAATAGAGATATTTTTATGACTGCGACCCACGTTATTAGAACGGACTTGTGCAACTCGCCGTGGAGTTGTAATTAGTAACGACAGCAGAAAAAATAAACAAAATAGGAAACTGGTTTATCTTAAAAGATTTTTTTTTATTAATCTAATT